CTCCAACTTCAACGAATGGTACGTGTAGGGGCCCTGCCGGACTGCTGGGCTCTGGCCCTCCCGCCCCCCCTCCCGCCGAGGGGGAGGAAGAAGCAGCCACGCCGGGAAGGTGTTGGATCGTGTTTGGTTTGGGTTTAAACCAGCGAAAGGATTAACAACTTCAGTGGCTCCGGAGCAGAGGAGAGCAACCCCCCTCCAGAGCCTCCAAAACAAAACAAAATCCGCCAGAGCTAAACTTTTCTTGCCCCCCCCCTCCGCCTCCTTCCCTCTGCCCCAGCACCCTCCGTCCCGACCAGCTGTGTATATAGAGGACTCCTCCTTCCTCCTCCAAGGTGGTAAACGAAGTTTTATTGGATTCTTGGTGTATAGACGTTCGTCCCATTTGTAAACTACGGATTGATTTCCTCCCATGCCCACCCCCCAAAAGTGATGGACTTTTTTTCTTTTCTTTTTTTAGTTCAGCCATTTGAGGAAAAAAAAAAGTAACGTGGAAGAAAATGGTTTCTTTTGTAACTGTGATGATGAATATTGTGTTCCTTTTTAAGAGGCAACTTGATTGTAAACTTAATTCAACTATAGACTGGGGGAAAAACTGTGCCAAAGTTTCCATTCTGTTACACACACGCACACACACCACCAACAACAACGCTTGTGAATGTATTTTTCTGTTAGCTGGGTTTACATGTGATGTTTTAGTGCTTTTGCAAGTTCAATTTGTTAGTTCCTGTTTGGAAGATTGTGAGGAAAAATAAACGTCGTGCCGTTAGCTTTTCCCTAATAACACCCTTCCTTCTGTAAATACCTGTTACCATATTTATCCATTTGTAATTAAATTATGGTATTAACTTGCTACAGAGGAAACAGTATTTATAAAGAATGTTTCTTAACTATAAATATGTACAATTGTGAGCATAAACTGTTTCAGATTTTTTATTTGAAGGTTTAAGTGGTTTCATCATTTCTTGTGAGATGTTTTGAGAGTAATGCATACAGAAATATAATAAAATGTGTTGAAACTGCACGTTCTGGTTCTTTTTATGTCTAAAGGCTTTCTTGCACTAGATAGGTTTCACCTAAAGAATGAAATTCAATGTGGCTAGAACATGTAAAATATTTTTAAAAACTAGCAAAATCACCTTAGGGCGATTCTTTTTAAATAATAAAATGTCTTTAGTTAGGACAGCGTTAATTTTCCTCCAAACATCCCTTATTTTTTAAAAAAACAATCCCCTACATTATATGCTAATAAAACAATAACATTATATATCCGTGAGCTATATGTTTACATTGAATATAAGATACCTTGAGCTTTCCTTTGGAAAGTACACATTTGTCTCCTGTATTACTCAATATGTATCAAAATACTGTACACTGGACTGTTGGTGGATTCGAAATTCCCAAACATTGATCTAGAGGTGTGCCTTTGGTCGTGGCATTTGAAATTTATGATTATTTTTTTAAATTCTTATATATGAAAGTGACAAAAGGTAGCTTCATTTTTCTTTTAAAATGAATTTTAATAAATCCATACAGTGATTTTACTTCAAATGTATTAAATAAGTAACCAACACAAGGAAAGCTACAGGTATTAGTCGAGCGTTTGCAGGGAAAAAGAATAACTCTTGATCTTAACTCCTATGTACCGCTGGATTTTAGTGAGAGCCTGCAAGGATGTCACAAAGTACCCAGAGTTTCTTAAGGAATTAGATTTCAAATAAAAGGGGATTTTCCCCTTTAATGGGAAGGAAACAGCTTTCTCGGAATACCGGAATAATCAAGACACCCAAGACGTGTGTGGCACAGTTTGGAAATCTTGGAAAGCTTGGACTTTGCCAAATCGATTTCTAGCCACCTAGGTATGGAAATCAGGCTGCTCGAAGAGCCAAATCGTTCGAACGGGTCTCCTAGCGCCCTATTGTGGCTAGTCTGTTTTCAGCAAAAACATGTACAGATACGTTTGCCTCTCAAACATAGCCAACTACGTCAGCTTCCATTCCTTCCAGTTATTTATTTATTTACTTTTGTTCTCCCAGTTTAAATGACAATAGAAGTGTCCCACGATGGCTGGGGAGTTGAGTTCAGAGCGATGTGTTTGTGGGATCCTGTTTTCTTTCTGGATGGGAATAACATACGGATAGGAATGAATGATACATGCCCAGCAGGAGAAGACTAAAGCACATGAGGGGAAAAGGGAAGAAGTCGAGGAAAATCTTCCCAAATGCTGCTCTAGAAGCAAAGTTTTGGTACAACTGTAGACTGTCCTTTCTATACTGAGCCCTTCTGCTGGCTGGAGTCTGGCGTTAATTCGCGTTGCATAATGTAAGACCCTGAAGTAATCAAGTAGCTATTAAAATCTAATTTATGATCTGTAATAATATTACACGAAATTATTAAACCCGCGCACCGCCGATCCCTTGGAGATCTCACTGGAAAAGGCAGCTTGAGTGAAGTTTTTTTTCTTATTGAAAAATGTAACCTCATAACAACAGTCTTGTTCCAGGTTAAAATGTGTTTCAAACCGTGGTTGAAATTCTGGTTATTTTCGTAGCCTCCTCCCCAGCACCAGCAGCCAGTTCTTGTTGCTACCCTCTCTCAGAGCGGTTTGAAGCTAGTGGAGGGGAATCAGTATAGACATTAACTCAGAGCTGAAGGTACCATTGAAGAATGATTCCTCTGCTCTTTTTTAGTCCTAAAAACTCTTCCCCCGCGGGTTTGTGTTGAGTAGGAGGTGAAGTCCCTTGATCCTGGCAGGACAAGGGAGAACAAGGCTGGAGGAAGAGGCAGCCTCTTGCGACTCGAAGTTAGCCTCGGAGCCCTGGCTGGTCCACTCCTTCGCGGCTCAGGGGCTGGCCCGAGCATTCCGGAGCAGCTACTGATCGCTTCCGTGTCCCCGCCAGGACAAACCTCGGGAGAAGTTTGCACCGCGCTGGCTAGCGACTGTGGTTTCGCCTCGCTGGCCCTGGCACCAGATTCGCCGCCCCTCAGCTTGAGTTGTGTTTGCGTTTCTTGCAGCCTCATCCCTGCTTTGGCGTGGGATCCCCGCCGTAGGGCCCAATAGCTAAATGTTAAAATACACACACACGCCCCCCAAACCCCTCGTCGCCACCGGAACCACAGCAGGGCCGCCCCCCAGCCCTTACTTCGGAGCAGCAGAGACAGAACAGTAACCCTCGTGCCCGACGCCTGGCTGACAGCGCTGCCTTTTCACGGAGGGCCCTGGGGAAGAGAGGGCAACAGCCGTGGTCACGAGAATGGCTTTTCCCCCTTCGCCTGACTGGCCATGAACTTGAACTTGAATGTGACGTGGCTCGCCGCTGCCTGGAGGACAGCGATCGCCTCCCCCTGTAAGGCTGCCGGGCTTTCCCAGGACCCGGGCAGGGCCCACGCCGTTGATGTTATTAATAGCAATAGTTAACGACGCATTGAACCCGCCTGTCCTCGCTGAGCCCGGTGACTTCTCTGGCGATAGCCAGCCCTGCAGCGTTCCCAGCGGACACTGTGCACAGCCACCCCCGGCTGGACAGCACAGCCCCCCGCGCCCGCAGCCGTGGGGCTGAAGGATGTCTAGGGACCGGGACCAAGGGCTCCGCTGGCCAGACCTCTGCCTCTTTCGCGCTGGCCTTTTCTCTCCCACCTTTCCCCCCCCTTTCTCCTCTGCCCCCCTCCTCTCATTTCCCTTTGTCTCTCCGGGTGAGCCGGGGGTTTCCAAACCTGGAGAGTCTCGCTCGCTGCACTTTTGCACACCCTGAAAGGAAACCAAGGGCAAATTGCGGGCAAGGCCAGGAGCCCTCTTGGCAGCCCGGACCCCCTACTGCACCGCACCCCTCCTCTCGCCCCCGCGCACCAAAGAGCTGGAGACAGCAAGCTCCATTCCCCAGCAGACAAAGTACAGGCCAGGACGAAACAGGTCTGCAGAAGACCGGAAGCGCCCCATTGGTCTGTCTCACATGCACCTAGTTCAAGTGAAATTAGGAAAGTGGGGGAGGGGGCAGGATTTCGCAGCTAAGGTGGCAGCATTCACCTCGAAAGCCACGATCTAGCAGAAGAGAAACACAGGTTACGAAGTGCTTGCTGCCAAATAGCAGCTTCTTTTGCAACGAGGTAGCTGTAGGTTACACGGGAAATCAATGGAAGGCAAAACTGTTTTATCTTTCCCCCTTCCCCTACCTTTGGATTTTGATTCTTTCTTCACGTGCGCTGTTGAGTTCATCCAACGGTTTTACCTTTAGCTGGGTTGCTAAAACTTGTTCCCCAAGCTGCAAACTAAGATTTAATTTATAAAAGAGTTTCGATATTGTCTCCTGATTTCACCCTGCGCCTGTGGGGCATATAGATTGTTTCGCGCACTTTGCTAAAACACTTACCTTGATCTGCACCTTTATTTCACAAGGCTGGAACAAATCAGACTTTTTAAGTACTATTTAGGAATCCCTAGGGGGAAAACCTCCGTGTGTCAGGGAGGCCAGTCTTCAAGTTATATATTTAATACGGTGTGAGTCATTTTATGATTTAATACCCAGAGCATGCTCCCTTCGGCTCAGCAAAATAAAAAATCCAACGTAAAATACAAGCTAAAGGTCAGCTTGCCTGGGATCAGCCCCGCAGAGAATTCATATGGAGAGTCTCCAAGATTGTTCAGTTTCATTCTGTCTAGACTTCACTAAGCCTGTAGCAGCCTTTTAAGTTTCTCCTTTGTTTTCAGAAACTCACACATTCTTTTTTCTGCCAATATGAAGACAGCCAGCGACACAAAACTGCTACCCAACTGCATGTGTACATTGGACATGCTAATTGGTACAGCGAGGTACGTATATTTTTCATCTACAAGCTTGGTCGGGTTTGGGGGGATTTGGGGCTGGTTTCTCCCCTCCAGTCCCCTGAAACACACGAACTGGAGGGCTTCTCCTTTCAGAAGCCGGCCGGCACGCCGGTATTGTAGTGCAATCCGGGAGTAGCACCGATTAAAAAACACTCGAGGGCAGAAGGACTGCCTGCCTTACTCCGAAAGTTAAATTTAACTCAAGTTCTGCGAATGTTTACTTCCTTCATTCTGCGCCCCAGCCCCCCAGTACACGCTGAAAGGCTGCAAGATTTCCCTGCACAAAATGTCCGTGTTTAGTGCTTGCCCTTTTCAAAAGGGGTGCCAGAGGTTTCATGTCTTTATTTAATCAGACTTCAAAGTAATTGCTGCACTGTTGTCCTAAGGAGAGGAAACCTAACACAAAACGTACTGGCGATCTGACTTCCTACCAGGGAGTTGCACCGGGCAGTAAATAATAACAGGTTATTCCAAATACCTACCATCCCCTAACATTTTAGCATGTTTCAAATAGCTTTTTAATGACGCCCTCGGTGGGATTTTTTTATGGCCGCGCTCCACATTTCCGAGCTGCAAGAAGTTGTTAGTTTGCCATTTTTAGAACAACCCTCCTAAGTCTTGGTGTAACCCCAGGTGTGGGAGCCATCTGTTGCTTCCGAGAGGGGGAAAACACGGCTTTTCTGGAAACAATTTCTTAATAAACCAGGACACCTCGCCTTTTTTTTTTGCCACCATCCACGCAGAGAACGGATTGAATTTTGATGCAAATGTCACCTCTTTACAATATGGTGAAACTGTGAACCTCCGTGTTTGCATGGGCATCTAGTGTAGGCTGGGGCCAGGGAAGAAGTGACTGTCAATTAGATTTTATATTTAGGGACCATTTTCTAGAGATGGAAAAATAGGTGGGCAACACAGGGTCTTTATGAAACATGGGAAATACACCTGGAGTCTCCGAGAGCAATGGTGCCTTTCCAGGGATTTCCAAGATGCAGCAATTTGATCTCTACTTTCTAGCTCCCCGTCTCGTCCTTTGATGCGTGGGGCACTGCTATACGGTAGCCAGCGAAGTGCTGGGGGTCTGGGTCATGAGGAGGGGAAGGGAGAAACCGCTTGTTGCTCTGGCCAGGAATGTAAAGTGGGTGGTTACTGGGAGGGC